ACACCTTTCTTCCTTCCTTTCTCCATCTAGTCAAGTTGTTGATTGATTGGGATGAGAAAGGTAGGAAAAGGGTGTGAGGAGGAGCCGTTGACCCTTCTCTGCCCACTCGTGCCTTCTTTGCCCATCCCCATCCCAGTCCAGTCCAGTCCCAGTGGTACCGTTCACCCAATTCATTTCTCTACTCCTCTCCAATCACCGCAATCTTTCTCAATCTATTTTTGTCTCTACCATTTCCACCCTTTCTTCTCAGCTCTTCCACTATTTGCGCTAAAGGTTTAGGGTGGACCGTTCCCTTTTCCAGCTTTCATTTCATTTCCCTAATTGCTTTGTTTATTTGATTTTCCTTTCTGATTTGAATAGAATTTTGCCAGCAATAAGTTTAACAAATCGAATTCGACACTTTCTTAATTTTGAGTACCCTAAAGTCTCGAGTATAAGTTCTGTTTGGTTTTCGAATGCAAATTGACGGCTGTCTCCGGTGCGGTGGGTCGAGGGTTGCAGCATAACTTTTTTGCTTTTTAAGAGCAATAATAGAAGTCAATTTATTGAGGGTTATAGCAATTTTATGCTGTTATTTGTTGCTCCGGGCGTGGCTCGGCGCGTCCACCCTGCTCCTCTCCGGTGCTCAGTCTTATGGATCCCTCCCTGGCTTTAGAATTCCTATTGAGTTCCTTTAGAGTTCCTTTATAGTTCCTTTAGAGCTCTTTAAATGTAAATTAAGGCAGAACTTATACTCGAGACTTTAGGGTAAAACATTTCAACCAACAAAGTTTTTCCATTTTCAAATCAAAAGCTTTACTTACTATAGACAATACAGCCACAGCTACAATTCCATTTTCAATTCCAATCCACAGAACGCCTAGTAACAGCAATCCTCTCCTTTTCTTTTTTCGTAAAGTCATCCATTTTTGATGACCCAGCTGCGAATCAGGGCAGATTTTAAAAAGAGATAATTCCGGTCTGAGAAGTGTCCTTTTTGTCGCTTTTCTTGTCTTCATTCGATGATTCATTTTTGGCAAAAATGTTTGTGTAAAAGAAACTGTACTTCTTTACACCACTATCCTTTTGTCTCTTTAAAATTTGCATCTTCAGCAAAGTGCGTTTGGTTCTTTCAATGCAAATGACAACAGGAAATTCTGTTTTTAAAAATTTTTACTATTCTACTTCCAAAATTTCTCTTGCGAACGATTTGAAAGCTTATTTTCTGAAATTTTATAGTTATCCGTCATCTTTTAGTTATCTTTAGAACCTTTTAGTTATCTTTTAGTTATCTTTAGAACCTTTGGAACCATTTAGCTTGATCAAATAAGTTTCTTGAGAGTTAGTAAGGTTTATGAAGTAGCTGATAGTGCGAAATAAGACAGAAATTCTTCAGATTTGAGTAAATTAATCAAAAAACTAGTTGGAAGAGTAGATTTCTTGAGAATTAAGTAAAAGTTTTCTAGTTTAAGCTTAGAGGAGGTAAACTCACTGGTTTTGTGGTGGGTAAATGAACTAGTAAATAAGTAAGGTTATAAATGAACTAGTAAAGGAGTAAGGTTATCAATGAACTAGTAAATAAGTAAGGTTATAAATGAACTAGTAAATAAGTAAGGTTATCAATGAACTAGTAAACAAGTAAGGTTATCAATGAACTAGTAAATAAGTAAGGTTATAAATTAACTAGTAAACAAGTAATGTCATCTTACCTAGTTCAAATCCAAGTCCAATTCTTGTATGCACAGCTTTCTACGCAAAAATTCTTAAATCTATACAACTTGGCAAGTTTCTAGACATGAAGACATCATAAATGACCAAAAGCAAGAGGCTATTAAAGAGAAAAAAGGAAAAAGAGTGCATCGTTTTGTTGTCTTTTCCCACGATTATGCTCCCCCTTTGAGCCTTTCCTTTTCCCCCGCTTTTGGTTGCTTTCAGAATACACCAATCCGATTACGATTAATGTTCGGCATTCATTTAAACACTTGATTTTGGTCTAAATCCTACAAAATCTTCATTGTAAATAGATCATTTGCTTTCTTGATTTGAGATTTTAACATTAAATCTCGATTTTAACGTGAAATCTCGATTTTTCTTTTGCCAAAACAATAAATTAATATGGAAATTGGTTTGCAATGAACTAGTAAATGAGTAAGGTTATAAATGAACTAGTAAATGAGTAAAGTTTGCAATGAAGGATTTGAAATCGTTTTGAATTTAAATTTAAATAGAATTGAAAGAAGATAAATAGAATAGAATTTAAATAGAATAGAATTTAAGTAGAATAGAATTTAAATAGAATAGAATTTAAGTAGAATAGAATTTAAGTAGAATTTAAATAGAAGTTAGAATGAGAAGATAGAAAAAGATAGAAATTTAGTAAAGCCATTTCAACGATTTCAACGATTTCAACGATTTTCTGTATTAGTTTAGAGAGAATTAGAGAAATGCACTAAAGTAATTTGCATTTATTTTGTTTTGACTGACGAAGCAGAGAGGAAAAATCAATTTTAGACTATTCTATTAACATTCTTATTAACAATTCTTTAAAAAAACTGATTATTTTTATCATTTATCGTTTAAGTCTTCAGAAATTTGAGTTTTTTAGTTCAAAATTGCTATTTGACTTTGAATTTCAATTGAAATTTGACTTTTCACTTGACTTTTCGAAGCTTCATATTATCGATCACGATTCTCCTTTAATGTGTGAAATGATTTGATGTGATTGGAGCCAAAGCGGGAATGGAATGCTCACTGTGATCGGAGGAATCCTCTCTCCTCCATTCTCTGAATCATCTCCAACCCCGTCCCCTATTTCCCCACAATCTTGGCTCCGATTCCAAATGTCAATACCATTCCCCCACCTATTTGTTTAGAGTTTTATCGTATTTTGATAAACTATCGACATCGACATCATTTTGAAAGATCTACCTGCGTCCAGTATCAAGTTTTTCTTAAAGATGTTGAGAGTTTGAGATGAAACCCTGTCTTATCTCTTTGCTTCTTATCGATATTTCAATCGGATCTCACTAGAGAAGAGTACTAAGTCACTGTGGGATTTTGAAGCGAAACTTAGCCCATTCGATAGAGAATTGAATAGAATCCGAAGCTGTAATCAAAATCTGTTGAATAGCTCGAGATTTCTGATATCAAAGCTTTTGCTAGACACTCGAGACACTAGCTGGGCTGAGTTGCTAGAAACTCTTGAGCTTATGCTAGTTGGCTGAGTTGCTAGACACTCGAGAGCTTTTGCTAGTTGAGCTGAGTTGCTAGAAACTCTTGAGCTTATGCTAGCTAGGCTGAGTTGCTAGACACTCGAGAGCTTTTGCTAGCCGAGCTGAGTTGCTAGACACTCTTGAGCTTATGCTAGCTGAGCTGAGTTGCTAGAAACTCTTGAGCCTTTACTAGCTGAGCTGAGTTGCTATACACTCTTGAGCTGAGTTTACGCTTCCTATTCAACGGCAGTCGTGGTGCAGCGGTTAGTGTGCTCGTCTGTGGGACGGGTTCTGGTGAGTTCGAATCATCCGGTGGACAAACTTTTTGCTTTTTATTTTTATAAAGATAAAGAAAACTCACGGTGCTCTAGTTAGGGCTTAGCCAGGTAAAAGCTTAGCCAGGTAAAGGCTTAGCTAGGTAAAGGCTTAGCCAGGTAAAGGCTTAGCTAGGTAAAGGCTTAGCCAGGTAAAGGCTTAGCTAGGTAAAGGCTTAGCCAGGTAACAGCTTAGCCAGGTAAAGTCCAATAATTCCAGATCCCAGAAGCCAGAACTACGAACGTTTTCTGCAGAAAACTAATCAAGTTCAGAAGCTAGAGTTAGAGCCAATCGAATCTTGGATTAAGAAAGTTGTTTTTAGAAAAAATCTTATCTCTTATCATTCACGAGTGAAAAATCATCGCATTAACCTATTTAGCAGACTACCGTAATAATTCTAATAGAAGACCATGGTCTTCTAATTTTCAACCCCCCAAAATTGGTGAGTCAAAAAAGTAGGTAAAGGTCCCCCACATGAATCAAAAAATTAAAAATAGTTAAAAACTATTTCAAACGATAGCCCTTGCCCCAAAACATGCCAAAAACATGTCTAAAAGTGAAATTATTTTCTTGCCCGGACTCCATAGAAAATCTTTCAAAAAAATCCATGTAGGGGACCACATGAAATTTTTCCAAAAAGTTATTTTTTAATTTTTTTCAAAAACTACGTCTCCAATTTTACTGCCGGGGCTAAAATATTACTATCTGGACCCAAATCTTTCATTCTACTTGAACAGAAGTTTTTAAAAGTCCCGATTTCAAGGGGTCAAGGGGGTGGTCTTCTATTGGAGACTGGTCTTCTATTAGAGACTGGTCTTCTATTAGAATTATTACGGTAATTTTACTTGCAAAACATTGAAAAAATGATTATTGATCTTTATTTGATCTTTATTATTGATCTTTATTTATGAAAAATGCTTTATTAATCAAAAATCTCTTCTAAGAACTTCTAAAAGACTCAAAAGTTTGACAAAACCAAGAAAAATCAAAAGTTAACTAAACCAAAAGTTCACCGTTAGCCAACTTTAGCCTTAAATCAATTAATCTTCAGATCAAAACCAGAAAAAAGCTAATTCCATGAATTTCCGCTTAAACTCTTTCCCTTTTTGCTGTCCTGATTGCCAGCTAAAAATTGATGTTCAATTTCAATTTACAATTCCATTTCAACAGCTCATTTCTCTTCTGAAAGTCGATCTGCATTCATCAATCTATACAATTCCTTTTCTTTTTCCATATACATTCATTGTGCCCTTCTCATTCGCACAAAATGAGCCTTATCAATGCCTCTTCTCTCCCCCAACATCCTTTTCTCCAATCTAAGTTTGCCCTCTATCCCCAGTTTCCCCTTTTCCCCCTTTTTCTTCTTCCGAACGGTCACTCCAATGCACTTTGTCGAGTGAATTCTTTTCATATTTCGTCTTCTAATTCGATATTTCCTTTTAAATTGATTTGTTTCATTTCAGAAAATCAAATACTTTTACACGAAAAATCACAATGATTCTCCGAACGCTTTTCATCGTTATTTTTCTTCTCATTGGATCAATCCTTACACAATCAGGTGAGCGAAAATGAATGAAAATGAATGAAAATGAAATCAAAATGAATTCAATGAAGATTTAATTCCAAATGTATTCCAAACTGCCTAGAATCAAAATGAAATTTAAAGTCATCAACTGTTTTGCTTGTAGAGAATGAATTGAATTGTTTGTTTCAAATTGTTTCAATGTTTCAAATTGTTGTTTCAATGTTTCAAATGGTTTCAATATTTCAAATTGTTGCTGCAAATTGTTGTTTCAAATGGTTTCAATATTTCAAATTGTTGGTTTCAATGTTTCAAATCGTTTCAATGTTTCAAATTCTTCCCCAATCATTCTAAAACTAACCAAACATTTTAAACGATACAATATTGTACTTTAAATTTTAGTCAACCGTTGGTAACAATCAAAACCTTAAATTATTTAAACGAGGAAAACTGAAAGGAAAGAATCATAAAGATATTGCTGATGGTGGTTTAGCTTTTTTGAGAGTTCAATCTGTTATAGTTGATTCTGTTTTTGCTCTTTTCCTTTCCTTTCAAATTGTTGTTTTGAATGTTTCAAATCGTTTCAATGTTTTAAATTGTTTCAATGTTTCAAATTCTTCCCCAATTATTCTAAAACTAACCAAACCCTTTAAACAATACAATATTATACTTTAAACAATGAATTCTTAGTTTGGATTACATTAGTATTCGCTAGATTTTAAAAGAATCACAGAATTTATCCAGAGAATCTTTCTCTTAAAGCTGAAAGTTCAAAAAATGCTCCTAAACTTTCAGTTGATGAAGAAGAAGCAGTGCATATTGGTGCTGGACAAGGATACGGCAGTGGAGATGGCCCTTATGAAGATGATGAAGATTTTGTAAGTTTTTCAAAGATTTAAATTATCTATTTTTATTTCTTTTGATTGATATAGACATTGCTCATAAAAATCCTTATCAAACGAAGAAAAATGTGATCTTTTGAGCTCAAGAACTATGTTTTAAGGTGCAATTCTTGAATCAACATTGCAATTGCAATTGAGATCTTGAAATTGAAGATCAAAAACCAATCAACTAATCAAGTTTTTCGCATTGCTTACCCCAAAATAAGACCCAAAACCATAAAGCGTTTCGTGGAGATGAAATCCGATATCAAAGGCTTTAGCGAAACAAATCGAAGAGACAGAAGGAGAGATCTAAGCCTTTCTTACTCAGTCTCACATCTATGGGGCATCATCAAACAGAAGTGACCTGGCCCCTATCTGTCCTCCTTTACCCTAACCCTAGCTGACCCCCTCAGCCCGAGAAACCCCTTGAGAATGGCCGATGAAAGAACTGAGAGGCCAAAAAGGCTGGGTAGATTATTTGTCTTATGCTAGAAATTCTCTTGAATCGATCAACTCTAGACTATCGTTAGACGTTTTATAATTTGAGATGAAGCTGAAGATTGTTTCAACCATAGAGCCTGAGTCTGAGCCTGAGTCTGAGCCTGAGTCTGAATCTGAGCGTAAGCCTAAGCCTAAGTCTGAGCCTAAGCCTAAGCCTAATCTAAGCCTAAGCTAAGCCTAAGCCTAAGCTAAGCCTAAGCCTAAGCCTAACAAACCCAGATAGACTTAGTGCTTGGCGCTAGCCGCTAGCCTTCGCACTAAGTCCAAGCCTAAGCCTAAGCCTAAGCCTAAGCCTAAGCCTAAGCCTAAGCTAAGCCTAAGCTAAGACTAAGCCTAAGCCTAAGCCTGAGCCCGAGCTTGCCTTTTCTTCGCTTTTGACTTAACCTGCAAGCTTAGAAATGAAAAGTTGCTATGAAAATCATTGCCGATTAACTCGACTTTAGCTTGAAATGGCTTGAAAACTTTGATCACTGTTCAAAACGATCAGTGCTAAGCGCTTGATCTCAAGATTGTCTTGGAAAGATCGATTGAACTAAAGATCGATTGAGCTTAAGTTTCTGATTGGATACTTTGTTCACAAATAGCACAAAGAAAGATACAAAATACCTACTTTGAGAAATAACAAAGCTTTTAGGGAAGTTTTTATTTTCGATCTTTAATCGTAAAACGAATTGTAGAATTCTCTAGCGATCTAGTTACCCATTTCTCAAGCCTTCTCATTACATAATACTTCACTTCCTTTTCATCAATCAATCATTGAATGATCAATCTATCATTGTTGATTGAATAGGGTCATGCGTCACCTTTCTCTTTCCACCTCACTTCTAATCCATATCTAGCACATCTGTGTACTCAAGCGGTCAAGGATTAGGAAAGCTCTGGGCATATTTTAAGTTGAAAAGTTGGGTACTGAATCAAATCAATCACTGAAACAAACATAAATCTGATCTTGATTTTGACACTTTTGAGATTAGTACTGCAGTTGGACAGTCCTTTTGGAGCTGGGAATACAAAACATAGTCATCGTCGAGATTCGACCTCTCGCGCACCGGGCCAACGCTCTGCCAATGAGCTACATCGATCCTATTTCCGCCAGAGTAGGGCCTTGCTCGGCTTTGCTGGCTTTGAAACAAAATTTGTCTTGACAAAATCCCATCTAACTCCTTCCAAACAATGAGCTACACTCCCATTTCCGCCATAGTAGAGCCTTATACCTTGCTCGGCTTTGCTAGCTTTGAAACAAAATAGGTCTTGATAAAATCCCATCTAACTCCTTCCAAACAATGAGCTACACTCCCATTTCCGCCATAGTAGAGCCTTATACCTTGCTCGGCTTTGCTAGCTTTGAAACAAAATAGGTCTTGATAAAATCCCATCTAACTCCTTCAAAACAAACCAATCTAATTAGATGACGAAAAACAAGAAATAAGAGCGCTACAGGCTAATGTTAATATTGCTAATATTTTTCCATTAGTTTTCCCATATCCAATAACCCTCTTGTCACCCTTTTTCCTCCATCTCGCATTACTCGACCCTAAAAAGAATGTATTCAGTTGTCAGATGGGCCAAATATGAGAGAAAGAGGCCAGGTGGTGATACAAAGAAAAAAAAAAGACAACTAGTTTACTCTCGCCTTAAAATAATAGAGATGCGCCACCTGGACAATAAGGGGAAAGATCGGTGAATGGGTAATGAATGAGGGGCTTTTATTGAAGATTATTATGGGGAAAACGGTGATCTTCACACCTTCTAAAGAGTTAAGGAATGAGGGCTGACTAAAAACGTTTGTTTCAGCTCAGTTTGTTTGGTTTAATTACCCAAATTTGAGAAATGTCGGGTAGCATCGTCTCGCTCGCAATCAAGGAAGAAGATGCGATGAAATTCCTTGCCTCGCAAACGCACATCGGGACACCCAACGTTTCGCTCCAGCAATACGTCTACAAACGGCGCGCGGATGGTACGCATATCATCAACTTGAACAAGACATGGGAAAAGTTACTCTGCTCGAGCCATTGCTGCCATCGAGAATCCAGCCGATGTTGTTGTTGTCTCGGCTCGTCCCTTTGCCCATCGTGCACTGATGAAATATGCTGCTCACACTGAAGCTACACCAATTTTTGCACGCTTTGCCCCAGGAGCTATCAGCTGGGCGATGAAAGAAGCCTTATATAAGCTGATCTCTTTCGTGAATACTGAATAAAATTCGAATTTGAAAAGATCTAAAAGTACCCCAACCTTCTATAGACAGTAAGATTAATATTTTCTATTCAATCTTGGCTTTCTTGTTGCATCATTGCATTGTATATTGCGGGAGGTGAAATCAGGAAGCCAGATGGGACTCCTCAATAAGACATTTGCCCTTTCTTTGTCTTTTCTTTAACCCTTCTTTTCCTCATTGTTGTCTTAACGCCTAATTCCGATAATTGCAATCGACCGTTGCCAGCTCCAGCTCTGACAACAGTTCGTATAATTGAGGAGAATTGTTTGGGGAGAATTGTTCGATTTATGTAGAGATAAATATTATATTAGCTTGTTATTTATATTATTTGGATCTTTAGGTCCAAGGTATTTATATTATTTATATCTTTAGGTCCAAGGTTCGGGTCTGCCGCCAGATCGCGATTTTGCCACCACTCCATCGATTCAGAAGACCACTCGCACAACCCGTCCTCCACAGACAACCACTCAACAAATCAAGAAGAGCCAATCGACAGTGATCACACAGAGACCAAGGGTTGGTGAACTAGCCGGCGGGATTGAACTAGCCGGCGGGATTGAACTAGCCGGCGGGATTGAACTAGCCAACTTTATTCAACTTGATCTCCCGACTAAGATACAGAGCTCTTAGCCAGTCGGCTATGACGGACTTTTAGTCATGACGACTGGCTCTTAGCCAGTCGGACTTATTGCCCAAAGACATGCCGGTAATAAAGGGAAATACTGAAGTGTTTTCATCAAAACAAAGCAGAGAAAGTTTCTATTCCTAATGTAAGGCAAATTGTCAAGAGTTCTACAGGGTATTCAATAATTACCTAGACTCGAAATTTTAAGTATAACTCAAAGATTGCTGAACACAACTACAACTATTGCTACTTGCTAAGTTGGCTAAAAAGAGGAACTGATCTCTGGAACTGATGATTTCAAGGAACTGATGATTTCAAGAGGAACTGATCAACCGTCTTGAAATAGAAGGTGTTCAAAAATAGCCCGGACTCGGGATTTTAAGTGTAACTCAGCACTCAGATGTGCAAACATCTCATGCTTTTATTTAATAGAAAGTTTAAATATATTACTACGCTGAATTCTTAGATTTAACAAAAAAGAATGTTTTCTGTCTTTTTTCAAGAACCTCAAAGTTGGCAGTCAGTCGCGGCACTTGTTTCTCGAGGATTTAACAAAAATTTTGGTGGTCATGAACGTTTCAGTCTGAAATTTAGTTTATTACGTTACATTTGCTTAAATGTTAAAGATTCACATTTAACAGAAACAGAAAAATGTAAAATTTCAGTTTGCAGAGTCATCTTTTGAAGCCCATTTGAAGCCAAGGCCAAGGCCCATTTGAAGCCAAGGCCAAGGCCCATTTGAAGCCAAGGCCAAGGCCCATTTGAAGCCAAGGCCAAGGCCCATTTGAAGCCAAGGCCAAGGCCCATTTGAAGCCAAGGCCAAGGCCCATTTGAAGCCAAGGCCAAGGCCCATTTGAAGCCAAGGCCAAGGCCCATTTGAAGCCAAGGCCAAGGCCCATTTCAAGCCAAGGCCAAGGCCCATTTCAAGCCAAGGCCAAGGCCCATTTCAAGCCAAGGCCAAGGCCCATTTCAAGCCAAGGCCAAGGCCCATTTCAAGCCAAGGCCAAGGCCCATTTGAAGCCAAGGCCAAGGCCCATTTGAAGCCAAGGCCAAGGCCCATTTCAAGCCAAGGCCCATTTGAAAACGAGATTCGCAAAATAGAAAAATTTTTGCCGAATTTAGTGTCACATTATCTTCCGATTTGATTGATAATTTTTAAAACGTATTGTAAAAACAAAAGCGTTTAAAGAAATGCTCAATCTTTGGCGTTTTCTGGAAATGAAAAGTGAAAAACAAGCGCCAAGCAACTGCCAACTTTGAGCTTCGATAAATCAAGACAGAAAAAGTTTCTTCTTAAAATCTAAGAATTCAGCGTAGTAATATATTTAAACTTTCTATTAAATAAAAGCATGAGATGATTGCACATCTGAGTGCTGAGTTACACTTAAAATCCCGAGTCCGGTTTATTTTTGAACACCCTCTATTTCAAGACGACTGTTCAGTTCCTCTTGAAAATTTTAGCCAACTTAGCAAGTAGCAATAGTTGTAGCAAGTAGATCAGCAATCTTTGAGTTCTAATATTTGAACTCTCATTTGATTTCTTTGCAGATCGAACAACCAGCCATTCCACCAACGACAACCTCTAGGAGACCACTCGGAAAACCGCCATTGGTTGCTGAGGTTTGTTTATCAGTTTATCAAGCAATTTATCAAGCTTTATCAGCTTTAAAAGGCAGTTTACCAAGCTTTATCAGCTTTAAAAGACAGTTGATCAAGCTTTTCAGCTTTAAAAGACAATTTATCAGCTTTATCAGCTTTAAAAGGCAGTTGATCAAGCTTTATCAGCTTTAAAAGACAGTTGATCAAGCTTTATCAATCAATTTTATAAAACTGAGAATTACTTACTTGTATTTGCTTGTTTATATGATACCAATTTCAGCCCTCATCCGCTTGGACAAACCAATTGATCGTCATCCTTTTGGTCAGCTTGATCGTAGCGCTTCTCCTTTTGATTCTCGCCGTGTTGATTGGAAAAGGATGCACAAGTGAGTGCTAATCTGATTCAGATCCTAATCTGAAAAGCTTACCAAAAAGCTTACCAAAATGACTCAAAATTGAATCAATCATGAACTGGATCATGGTTTTGTCTGGTTTTGTCTGATTTAGAGTTACAGTTAGCTCTTATTGCTCTTTCTAAAAGGCATATACAAAAGTTGAGCTATTGAATGGTGGTGTAGTGGATAGTGTGATAGCCTGGAGAACTCATGGAGCCCAATAGCAGTGGGTTCGAGTCCCCTACTAGACCAACTTTTTCTTTTTCACAATATTTCTATAGTAATTCTTTTTCAGGCAAAAAGCGAACCTATCGAACGGAAAGTAAAGAAGCTTCGGCAAGTGGTCTACTCGGTAAAACCGATTATTAGAGATCAATTGCTTTTCCTGATGATCAATGATCAATGCTTTGCTTTTCCCCATCAAAAACTTGAATTTTGTTTTTGCTACGAGCTAGTCTTGGGCTTCCAAAAAGAGATACGGGATTATTTGTGCTGTTTGTGAAGATTTTTTTTAGGAGAATTTTGTTTATTTAAGCTTTTCTGCATACCTATTTCTGGGGTAGGCTACTTTGCGCGAAATTTTTTGCGCAACAAGGTCATTTGCACGACTCGCCATAACTTTCTTTTAAGTCATCCAGTCTTTATGCTATTAATGTCATTTTGTAGATCTCAATAAGGGCAACAAAATGACACAAATAGCAGAAAGATTGGCTGAGTTAGAAGAAAGTTATAGCGAGTTGCGCAAAGTAGGCTAATTTCCGCTAGGTCGTTTGCGCCACTAGTCATAACTTTCTTCTAGTTTGGCCAATCTTTATGCTATTGGTGTCATTTTGTTGCCCTTATTGAGTTCTACAAAATGACACCAAAATCATAAAGATTAGCTGAGTTAGAAGAAAGTTATGTCGAGCCAAACGACCTAGTCGTTTGTCAACGGGGCCGTTTGCGCAACTTGCCATAACTTTCTTCTAGTTTGGCCAATCTTTATGCTATTGGTTTCATTTTGTAGATCTTAATAAGTGCAACAAAATGACACCAATAGCATAAAGATTGGCTGAGTTAGAAGAAAGTTATGGCGAGTCGCGCAAATGACCCTGTTGCAATGACGCCAAAAAATTGCGGAAATTAGCCTACCCTCTATTTCTTTTTCACCTGTGATTTTACTAAATAGAAAAAGTTTCCGAAAAGATCGTGTAAACGCACGGCTTCTGGAGCACCAAAGACTGTAAACGTCTGGCTTCTGGCAGAAGGCTTCTGGTAACTAAAACTGTGCCAGTTAGAGCAGAAAGTACGAGCTGATTAAGCGAAATTCGTTCAAGAGCCAAAAAAGCCAAAAGCCAAAAGCCATTTTGCGTTTTAGTGAGCTTAAAGTCAAATTTTCCTTCAAATCAGTGCACCAGAAGTATTGCTTTTCCACTTTCTTCAACTCAAATTTGCATAAAGTCGAAAAATCCAAAAGCTTTTCTCTTGTACAAGAAAGTTTTTGCTCAAAAATATAACATTTTTACCTTTTTACAGTCAAAAATTTCGAGAATTTATCGATTAAGTCATTTTTTTAAACTTTATTCAATTTGTTTCTCTTCTTTCTCTTCTTTCTCTTCTTCCTCTTCTTCCTCTTCTTCTTTCTCTTCTTTCTCTCCTTTCTCTTCTTTCTCTCCTTTTCTGTTTGAATTCTGTCAATTTTCACCGCGCAAAAAATTCTCAGAGACGTGTATATTTACTTAATAATTCGACTTTTTCTTTCTTTTCTTTTGCAATTTATGAAATTAATTTGGCGATTTGATTTTTCTTTTGATTTTTTTTGTTTATTTCACTTTTCATGCGTTTCTATTATGTGCAAGTGAATAAAAATAAAGTTTTCAATTCGAAAAATACAAGAAAACACTCAAAATTTAGTTATGGAAATGAAAAAGTTGAATTTGAAGGAATTTGATGAAAATGAGACTGAATTGCTAGTATTTACGACTTTAATTGATGTCTTTTGACACTTTCACAAGAGTTCGGTTTTGACTAGATAGTGGAAAATGACCGCTCTAAAATATCATTCAAAATAATTAAGAGTTGGGATCATTTCATGTAAGTGGAGTTTTTAAAAAGTGCCCTCTTTTGGTCACTCGCCATTTCGCCCTCGAAATTTCTTCAATGGTTCGATCAATTGAAACACGTTTTAGCCTATTTCGTAGAGGAGATTTACAACTTTCAAATAGTTTATAACATTCATCGATTCTAGTTTATAACATCACGTTTCTATCGTTGGAAATTTGTGAAAATGTTGAAATCCGCATTTCTTATGCATGTGTTATGCACGCGAAATGGCGTTAGGCGAAATGGCGTTAGGCGGAATGGTGTTAGGCGGAATGGTGTTAGGCAAAATAGCGTTAGGAAAAATAGCGTTAGGCAAAATGGCGTTAGGAAAAATAGCGTTAGGCAAAATGGCGTTAAGCAGAATGGTGTTAGGCAAAATGGCGTTAGGCGGAATTGTGTTAGACAAAATGGTGCTAGGCAAACTGGCGTTAGGCAAAATGGCGTTAGCCAAACTGGTGTTAGGCAAATTGGCGTTAGGCGGAATGGTGTTAGACAAAATGGTGCTAGGTAAAATGGTCTTAGGCAAATTGGCGTTAGGCAAACTGGCGTTAGGCAAACTGGTGTTAGGCAAACTGGCGTTAGGCAAACTGGCGTTAGGCAAACTGGCGTTAGGCAAACTGGCGTTAGGCGAAATGGCGTTAAGCTAAATGGTGTTAAGCTAAATGGCGTTAAGCGAAATTGGCGGTTCCCGAGATGCACAAGTAAATCTGGAAATTAATCTAATTCATTACAAAAGTTATTTTATCATACATGTATTGAGAAATAAGATGTTTAAAAGCAATATCTTTAAACCATTAATAAGACTGAAGATTTGATTCTGATTCAAAACTCTATCAGAGCCAGAGACTCTATCAGATAAGCTAGGGCCATCAGTTGGCTTCATTCCCTAGTTACCAGAGTTTATGCGATAAATTTGATTACTTTGGCTTTTGGCTTTTAGCTGAATATAGATTTTGGTGTTGGATCACTCTTTAACACGCCCGTGAATGATCTGAGAACTTTGAACTTTGATTTTGCAAATATAGTACACAACTTTCCAATACCATCAGCTTCAGGATTGATTATTTAGCCTTAAATCTAAACAAAGCCTATTCCAGAGACAGCCCCAGGCCAGGGTGATTACGGTGCAGCGGCAGCGGCTGCAGTGGCCGCGAGCACCGATGGGCAACAAGCTGAGCGGATGGCGCAATGGCCTTGGGAACACTCGAATGTCGCATTGGTATCTGATAGAGTTTTGGCAAGTAACAGATTGATTATTGGAAAAGAAGACTATTTTCTATCTTTTTTAGAAATCTTTCTAAGAGATTAGAAAGTTTTCCATCAATTTCTTATTTAATTCACTTAAAAATCAAAAGAAATTCTTTAAGACATGAAAATTTACATAAATTTCTATTCAATTTCTACCATTTCTTCTTTTTTCTTTCACTTTTTCTCTCTTTTATTTGTTATTCTCTATTCTAACTCAATTCTCAATACGCTCAACTAACAAGCGAATCGTGTGGGTGTTCAGGAACGGATAAAGAATAATTCATCAACCAAAATCAACCAAACAGAAGCCATATCTTTTTTCCTAGAGAAAGGAAATCTTTGATGAGATTGTAGCCAATTTCTTTTTGAATATCTGATAAATCTTTGGGTTTTCTAGGATAAGTTTTCTTAGTTTTCTCATTTTTGAAAAAATTCTGCAAATTTGTTCCCAAATTGCACGTGTGGCTGACTGGTTAAGTGTCTTTTATCTTAATCGGAAGGTCGAGGGTTCGAACCCCACATGCGACATGGTCACCCCCTTCGGATTTCCTTTCCCTTCGGGTTGAGAGGTTTTCTGGAGGGCAGTCTGGTGGTTGTGGCCCCAGTTCTTTAAAGTGACAAGCCACTCCTTCATCGTCATCTTCCCTTCACCACGAAAAAAGCTATTTAGTTCCCCATTGAGCTTAGGGTTAGGGAGCCGTCTGTCATGACGTGGGTTAAGTTAAGATATAGCCTAGTATTGTGTGTGTCGTTGTATTGTGATTGATATATTTCGTGTATGCGATAAATTCACCACTGGTAGCCCCAGTCGGTATTTTTTGAAATTGTTCCAAAATTTTTGTGTTCAAGTGCTATAAAAAGTTCGAATTTGGATCTTTTTCGCTTCGGATTTTCTTTCGATTCGAAATCCAATTCTTTCTTTCTTTCCCATTCTTCTCCACCAAATTTTCTTCTCATTTCTTTCTTTCTTTTTTCAGCTTCCCCCCCTCCACCTTCGCAATATCAAACAAAGAAAATTGACGATGCAGTAAATATTCATTAAATGAGAAGAAACGAATCAAATTTTGATCTTTTTTCTCTATTCTTGTTTTTTGAAAGATGAAATGTTAGTTTTTAAGAGGATTTTTGGGTTTTTAAGTCTCAGAGCTATTTTTTCTTGTATTCATTGTGCTCTTGAGCTTTCTTAACACAAATGTCTAGGTGCGCAAAAAAAAAGGTCGCATTTGGTCCCACCCCCGTAACTTTAGCTATTTTTATTTTATTGATTCTATTGATTCTATTGATTCGATTGATTCTATTGATAAATAAAGTTGAACTCTATAGTGAAAGACTAATCGCTTTAAAAAACAATGTAGGAAGCAAAACTATGAATAGAAATTGCGCAAATAGAAAAAAGAAATAGCTAAAGTTGCAAAGAATAATGATTTTTGGGGGGGTGGGAAAAATGCGACCTTTTTTGCGCACCTGGACATTTGCGCACCTTTTTCTTTGCTGGTAAAGCAAAGAAAGCCTTAGGAAAGGTTTCTTTGCCTTAGGAAAGGTCGTAGAGCTTCAAAAATGTTTTCATAGAAGGGAATCGTATGCGTAGATTCCGAATTTCGACAAATCAGACCTCGCTGACACGTCAAATTTGGGCTAAAAGGCAAAAACTACGCAACTTAACGCTTTTCCGTTTGTCGCATTTGTCCCACCCCCAAAAAGACAGATTACAGTCTTTAGTGCATTTTAGTGCGCGGATTCCAAAATGTTTTCTCGGAAAAATTCAGTCAATTTTGGAAAAAAACTTTATAAGGCTTGAGGAAACGAATCATGCGTTAAGAGGGCATATTTCAGATCATTGAAATGTTCGCAAGCCCTTCGCAATATCAAACAAAGAAAATTTAACGATGCAGTAAATAGTCATTAAATGAGAAGAAACGAATCAAATATTTTGATCTTTTTTTTTTTGTTCTTTTTGCACAAATTATTCTCTATTCTTGATTTTTGAAAGATGAAATGTTAGTTTTTAAGAAGATTTTTGTGTTTTTAAGAGCTCAGAGCTATTTTTTTCTTTTCTTGCTCTAGCTCAGAGCTAGAGTATTCATTGTGCTCTTGCTTAAAACGTGTAAACTTTCTCCACTACCCGTAATTCTATTTCTAGTTTCTTTTTTTTTTGTCGCAATAATTTCCTTTCAAATAAAGGTGGATAACTTTAACCCATTCGAAACCGCAGCGTTATTTCTTTTTTTTTCGTCTACGGACCAAGCCCTTTTTTTTGACATTTTTGACTCCAAAGCAGTTTATTTATGGTTGGAAAGATGTAAGAGAGTCTCCTACACCATTTATTTTTGATGAAGAACGATTTGGATTTGACTTTCAGTACTTTTCAAGATCCTATCGATTATTATTCTTATTTTATCGACGACAAATTAATCGATATGTTAGTAGGCGAATCTAATAAACATGGAAAAAGGAAAACAAACTGGCAGGATTTCGATGCAAAATCTTTCAAGCTCTTCCTGGCTCTGTATCTTCAAATGGGAATCGTCAAATTATTGAGGATGACTACTGGGGTAGCAGGCCTGGATTAGGAGGATTTTCCCACATGTCCCACATTATGTCAAGAGCAAAATTTGAATCTATTCTTCGAAACCTGCGTTTTTGTGATAATGAACTGGATGCTGCAGGAGATCCAGAGGCTGCCGGATCCAGAACTGGATCCTGCAGGAGATCGGCCAATCACTTTAACAACTTTAACATAAAGGGATTTGCGATTTAATTATGATCTTTTTTGCAATTTAATTATGATCTCATTTGATGCGGTATGGGAATAAAGTTGAGCATGAAGTTGAGCACGGTTATCATATTTTTCAGAATTACCCCCCAGTAATGTTATTCCAAGGAAAAATTGCTAAGAAAAGATGAATAGTTAATTAGTTGCTCAAAAATTTAGTGTTGTTTTACTTACTAGTCTACTAAGTAGCCCAATTTTTGTATATTTAGCCTAAGCCGACTGGCTAAGAGCCCTATCTTCACAGGAGGTCAAGGGTTTAATCCTGCTAAGTTATTGGTTCTTTTTTCCCATATACCATATTCTCTCTAATAGTAGTGCACCCTGAGCGTCGCCTAAATTGATCGAAATCTCGAGAACCGCTTATCAGAACCTATCGATATGGGGTCGGAAAATGTAGCTGACGATGAGATCTAGTTGGGGATTTGAGTGTTCAGCTTCCGGGAAAACTTTGAAAGCCCTAAAATAGTCATTAACTCGGCTGCACTGGTGCACTACTAGAATATAATCAGGGAAAAGCATCTAATCTACAACCTAAAGTTGCTCAAAGATTTTCAACTGATATTCCAATTTTGAATGCTTTAGTTGAACGGAACAGTCTAAGTCTACTTTGAGCGTCGCCTAAATTCCTCGAAATCTCGAGAACCGCTTATCAGAACCTATCGATGTGCGGTCGGAAAATGTAGCTGACGATGAGATCTAGTTGGGGATTTGAGTGTTGAGCTTCTGCAAAAGTTTGGAAACCGTAAAATCGTCATCAATTCGGCTCCCAGGGGTGCACAACTATTAGAGAAAATAAGCAGAAGCAGAATTCCATCTCGTTTCCAAAAAACCAAAACAGCAAAACAAAATGGTAAAATTGAAAGTGTCATTCTCTAAAGATTGTAAATCGAGGGATAAATCAAGCGAATTTCTCTAGATCTAGCTCTAGATATCTCTAGATTGATATACCCGGACTCAGCTCTTCATCCAGCTCTTCATCCAGCTCTTCATCCAGCTCTTGTGTGTATTCGCAAAATCTTCTAGCCATACTCAATCCTGGAGTTGAAAGATGAACCTTGAAACCTCTAAAAACCTCTAAATAACATCGTTATCAACCTGTAAACGCTTGACTGATTCATTCCAAGATTACCCCATTCTTTTCCCATTTCAATTGCCTTTTCAGGGGATTTTCTCGATCCTTTTCCTCCCTTTGTCGCCCATAAATACATTCTTAATCCCATTTCCCGATACACTGGTAAATGAGAGGAGACTTTTTGTGAGGGTTTTTCCCCGGGAATTTTTCTAGAATCCCCATATTTTCCTATTTTTTCGGAAGAAGCCCTTTTTGGTGGATTATATTTTTCTTCTTCTTCTTCTTCTTCTTCTTCTTCTTCTTCCTCTTCTTCTTCTTCTTCTTCTCCTTCTTCTTCTTCTTCCTCTTCTTCTTCTTCTTCTTCCTCTCCTTCCTCTTCTTCCTCTCCTTCCTCTTCTTCCTCTCCTTCCTCTTCTTCCTCTCCTTCCTCTTCTTTCCAATACAATCTATCCGGCTGAAAATCTTGATCGCCCCGAAATCCCCTCATTTTTAATAAACCCATTTTCAAGTTATCGATTTTTTGCATTCTTTTACACTTGGGTGGTCTTTTTTGAAAGAATTTCTGTAAATGATAGAAGTGATTACGAATTTCTGCAAATGCTGTGTTGATGTCGATACGATACGTTTAATGTATACGTTAATACGTTAAGATAATGTTGATACGATCGATTTGACTCATCCCGCCTACTTTCGCCTTTTTGCCTCTGCCAAAATACATTTTTCTCAGCTTTCCGAAAATCAATTCTAAAACATTTAACATCAATCTCTCATTTATCTGTGAGTCGATTTTGAATACTGTTCCACTACAGCATGCATTTTGTAGCTCAATTTTAGATAGGTTTTTGTCAATAATTTTTGATGAAAGAAATAGTTTCTGAAAGTTAATGTTTTAAGCTATTTAAATCTTATTAAAACTTCTTGATCTGATAAGTTTAAGATGCTTAAAAATGAGCTGCAAGTTGGGGAAAAACTCGGCTCTTTTCGTTAACCGTAAAGCACTAAAAATTGAATTATGAAAGAAGTTATTGAGCCAAGATTGGTTTTTTTGGTTCTACACAGACACAGACCTAAATAGCTTGAATGGCTGCCCGGAACTTAGACTGACCCAAGAAAGCGATTCTAGACGTTAGAAAGCGATTCTAAGAATTCGAACGTCTATTCTGGAGTTCATGCCTCAGTTTTAAGGTGATTCTAGACCGTCTAGAGAGATTCGGAACTCTTGAATGTCCATTCTGGAGCTCATGCCTTAGTTTTAAGGTGATTCTAGATCGTCTAGAGAGGCTTGAAACTCTTGAATGTCCATTCTGGAGCTCACCCTACAGTTGTAAGCTAATTTTAGACCGTCTAGAGAGATTTGGAACTCTTGAATGTTCATTCTGGAGCTCACGCTACAGTTGTAAGCTAATTTTAGACCATCTAAAGAGGTTTGGAACTTTCGACTTTCCATTCTGGAGCTCACGCTACATTTTTAAGCTGATTCTAGGCGGTCTAGAAAGAGGTTTTACACAAAATTGGTTTTACACAAAATTGGTTTTACACAGACTTTAGGCTTTGCCTGGCTTGATCAGATCAAAGCCACGAGTCCAAAAGTCAAGTCTGAATCTTGTTAATGTCATTTGTGATATCAAGACCAATTTTATTCTATGCCAATGTCAGTCTTTGCCACTTTGCTTTGTGACAAAGACTAGGAATAACATAGAAAACAATTGGCTGCTTCCCTATCAACTTTACCAGCCAAAAACCTTGCTAATCCATAATATTTATTCAAGTTTTAAAGCTTTTTTCGATTTCTCTGATGAATTCGTGTAAAGCAACTCGAAAAATTTCCGGTAATCACTTTTTTGAAGCACAAATTTACACTTCCGCTCTCCCAAAGCCACCAAAAGGCTGAAAAAGCTTTTTTTGCTTGAAAAACAAGAAATTGATCTCTTTTTTTGTCATAAATGACTTGAAAATTGTTATGAAAAGAGTTTTTTATTTAAAAAATTGAAATCCAATCCGAATTGTCTCAAATTTTAAAAATAAAATTCGATTTTTGAATCCTTATCTTCTAGACAAGCTAAAATCTCAAAAAAAGTCTCAATTAGTCTCTCGCAATCCCAATTAAAGTCTTTTTTCACTCAACACTCAACTAACCGAGCCTACGACATTGAAGGCCAGCCTTTAAGTACTCACGTCTCTGTCTACCACAGTGGAAGATCCGATGAACCAGTCACGGTTGTTCATGAAGTCCACGATTGTCCACGGCTATAAAAAACTCAAACTCTACCAGTTATCAAGATCTTAAACTCTTTTGGAAAAGTTTAAAGACTTAATTTATTTTTAAAAAGTCACAATTAGTCTCTCGCAATCCAAATTAAAGTCTTTTTCACTCAAAACAAATAATTATTTCAATAAATTTACTCAAATATTTGAATTTCTCGTTAAATAAACGCCAAAGCGCTCTAAAATTTTGATGCGAAATGCGAGCTATTCAGTTTTCCCTTTGTACAAAACTTTCTTTGCTCCGGTCTTGGACTTGGAATAAGCTCCGGCCTTGGACTTGGAATAAGCCTTGTCTTGGACTTGGAATAAGCCTTGTCTTGGACTTGGAATAGGCTCCGGTCTTGGACTTGGAATAAGCCTTGTCTTGGACTTGGAATAAGCTTTGTCTTGGACTTGGAATAAGCCTTGTCTTGGACTTGGAATAAGCTCCGGCCTTGGACTTGGAATAAGCTTTGTCTTGGACTTGGAATAGGCCTTGTCTTGGACTTGGAATAAGCCTTGTCTTGGACTTGGAATAAGCTTTGTCTTGGACTTGGAATAAGCCTTGTCTTGGACTTGGAATAGGCCTTGTCTTGGACTTGGAATAAGCCTTGTCTTGGACTTGGAATAAGCTTTGTCTTGGACTTGGAATAGGCTCCGGTCTTGGACTTGGAATAAGCTTTGTCTTGGACTTGGAATAAGCCTTGTCTTGGACTTGGAATAAGCCTTGTCTTGGACTTGGAATAGGCTCCGGTCTTGGACTTGGAATGAGCCTTGTCTTGGACTTGGAATAAGCTTTGTCTTGGACTTGGAATGAGCCTTGTCTTGGACTTGGAATAAGCCTCAAAATTTAAAAATAAAATTCGATTTTTGAATCCTTATCTTCTAGACAAGCTAAAAAGTTATTTGAAAAAGCAAGAAAACAAATTCCCATTGACATTCGTTTGTCGAAAAATGTCCCCATCACCTCTTAATGCGCCGCTTTTCATTATACGGACTTCTTTCTTTCTTTCTATCTTTCTTTTCTTTCTTTCTATCTTTCTTTCTATCTTTCTTTCTATTCCTTTTCCCCATCGAAAAGTCGATTTCTTGACACTTTTCTTTCATTATTTTCTTTCAGAAAAAACTAAATAATACGTCAAAATGCAAATCGACTTTTTATCCTCTTTCAACCTCAATTAATTTCTGTTTTTCATCTTTTCTTTATTCGAAAATCCTCTAAATTACTCTGATTGTTGAATTGCGTTTCAGAAAAACCTTTGTTTTCCATGAAAATTATTAGAAATCCTTCATTTTTATACATTATTATCAAAAACTTATTATCAACCTTTACTAGAAAAGTTTCTTTTCATTTTATCGATGGCTTTTAAGCAGGAAATAACTCGCTTATTTCATCGATGAAATAACTCGCTTTTACGGAATTTTCTGATCATTTTATAGGTCATTTTATAGACCATTTTATAGGTCATTTTATAGATCATTTTATAAACAAAATCTTTAGCTCAATAACTTTATTCAAAAATTATAAGCTTTAGCTATTGTTTTGAACAAGATTTACAATACAAAATTCTCATCATTGAACGGAAATCTTTCAGAAAAACTGAGCTCCCTCCGAGGGACTTCAGCGGCCGCCGCGGCTGCGGCCAAGAAATCCGCTCAAAGTCGCCAATCAAGTGTCGATCATGAAAGAAACGGGAAAATCCCTGGGTTTGTTTTGCAGATTTTCATCCAGAGACACTTTTTGGTAAAGCTTATACTAAAGCACAGCACAAAAAACATTGCTTTACATTGCATTGAACATTGAATGAATTGAGCTAAGCAGAGAAAACCATACATTTAGTCACACGAATAATGTGATAAAAACAAGACACAAGCAGCCTCAAATGTAGGCAAGAAAAACCCATATATATACCGTATTCTCTCTAATACTAGTGCACCTGGCCGAGCCGAGTTGATGACTATTTTACGGTTTCAAAGTTTTCCCAGAAGCTCAACACTCAAATCCCCCACTAGATCTCATCGTCAGCTACATTTTCCGACCCCACATCGATAGGTTCTGATAAGCGGTTGACGAGATTTCGAGGAATTTAGACGACGATCAGGGTGCACTACTATTAGAGAGAATACGGTAATAATAATAATCTATACCCGGGTTACCGGTGATTTATTTTGCACATACATAGTCACAATTCACACGTTAAGACCTAGGGAGATATTCTATCGTTTGTGAGGATGGGACGATGTAGGAGAAGGCTATCCGCTTTATATGAGCTTCCGCCTTAGACCATTTGGATCCCTGGTTATCCCGATCCCGAGGGAAAGGGGCCTAGGGGGGACCGGTCTTGGGAACCAGTTCACCATATGGGTGCACCTACAGCACTCGGTTCAGGGAAGATAGCCAGGGAAGATACTACTATTAGAGAGAATATGGTATATAGGAAAAAAAACCCAATAACCTAGCAGGATTAAACCCTTGACCTCCTGTGAAGATACAGAGCTCTTAACCAGTCGGCTTAGACTAAAAGAATAGTCCAAAAGTAACCTTAACACTCTTCACTGTGTTCGAGGGAATCTTTTCATTTCAAATTCTCTGAGAAAGTTGAAAGCTTTGATTTTAGATACACTTTCGGTTACACCTCGGAATTGTCTCATCACGAAAATGCGGTTTCGACAGCGAAACGACTTCGGCAACGCCTTCAACGACAACAAAGTGGACAATCAGGTTTGTAGAGAATTTCATTTGAATCTTTTAATTGTTCAAAAAACTATTTTAACAATCTAACAAAGAATCTAATAAACTGTTAAAGAAGTGAAGGAATTAGCAAGAGAAAGTCTAGAGACTTGACAGTTCCAGAGCTTGACAGAGCAAGAGAAAGTCGATTTCGGGAAAGGGAAACTTTCCATCTTTTGCTTTCCAATATTGCTCTAATCGTTGAGTTATTTTGTACCTTAGCTTGCAAAGAGAAAGGGGGAAGACAAGGAAGAAGAAGAAAAAGAAGAAAAAGAGGAAGAAGAAGAAGAAGAAGAAGAAGAAGAAGAAGAAGAAGAAGAAGAAGAAGAAGAAGAAGAGGAAGAGGAAGAGGAAGAAGAAGAAGAAGAAGGAGAGGAAGGAGATGAAGAGGAAGAAGAAGAAGAAGAAGAAGAGGAAGAAGAGGAAGAGGAAGAAGAAGGAGAAGGAGAGGAAGGAGAAGAAGAAGAAGAAGAAGAAGAAGAAGAAGAAGAAGAAGGAGAGGAAGGAGAAGAAGAAGAAGAAGAAGAAGAAGAGGAAGAAGAAGAAGAGGAAGAAGAAGAAAGAAAGAAAGAAAGTTAGAAGCTGTTAGAAGATCAAACCAACAGGAATAGATTCTAAAGCTGTTTTAAAGCTTTAAACCCTCTATGGAACTGTTTAGATGTTAGAATTCGGGTTCCAAACATTCTTCTATGATTTAAAATAATCTCTTCGGCCTCTAAACATTCTTCTATGATTTAAAATAATCTATTTCATATATTAACTCGAGATTAACCGGAAATCCTTTCAAATTCAACGATTTAAAAAGTAAAAAATCGATTCTCAAGCATTACTAACACAAATTTCTCTTTTTTTGTTATTTTGTAAGAGTTCTAGATAACTTTTTTTTATGAATATTCTGCTTTGATTCTATATTCTTTTATCTCTTTTATCTCTTTTCGCTTATCTTATCTTCATAATCCATTTTTTTTTTTCTCTTAAATCTTCTTATTTATGTAGAAAAATTCGAATCCGTCCGGCTTTTTCGCTTTTTTTTTTCTCAAAAACTCGCAAAAATTTATGAGATTCTTGAAAAAGGAAAAAGTTCTCGAGAATTTGTCTCACTTTTTCGGCAATTCAAAGCTAGCTGACATTGAATTCTGTTCTAAATTCTGTTATTTTAAATTCTGTTCTAAATTCTGTTAAATCTTTATTCTGTTATTTCTGTTATTTCTGTTATTTCTGTTATTTAACATATTTTTGATCTACTAGAAATTTCTCAAAAAGCCCGTCAAATTTCTTATGCATTGTGGCGGAACAAAAAGAAAAACTCTAAAAGAATTTCTACGCATATTTTTGTCAATATTCGGTCAATATTTCTATCAATATCTTTATCAATATTGTTGCCAATATTTTGTCAATATTTCTATCAATATTTTGTCAATATTTTCTTCAAATTTTGACATTTACAAGATATTCTATTCTAAACATTGAAAGCGATGGATTCGATGAAATTTGAGGAATTGAGAAAAGAAATCTCGGCCTGTGATCTACTCCATGTTGATTGTAAGTGCATTGTTAAAGATTTGAATAGAGATCTTTTCATTTCTATAGTTTGGATTAGTTTACGATCGATTAGCTAACATTGATTAGCTAATATTGATTACCGTATTTCCTCTAATAAACGCCCCCCCCCCCTTGACCAACTTTGGACGCTTCGTTCTCAGCCCCATTTTGAGGTATTTTTATGTTTAATATATCAAAAGATAGAAGACATTAAGGGCTATCTTTTGATATATTAAACATAAAAATATCTCCAAATGGAGCTGAGAACGAAGCGTCCAAAGTTGGTCAAGGGGGGCGGGGCGTTTATTAGAGGAAATACGGTAACTAACATAAAGATCATTTGCAAGATAAGCTCTACTTATTTTAAAGTAAGCTATCGACAAATAACACTAATATTTACGATCAACCTTTTGACAATCTATTGTGGCTATGTAAAATTGAATAGATCAGATTTTAACTTTATTTAAGAGCACCATGAACTCCTTTTTTTTTTACAGCAAACTCTTTTGTCAAAATTTCATAGACAAAATTGATTTTTGGGCTCATTTGGAAACTCAGCAAAAAAAGGAAAAATTGAGCTTTTTTGTTTGAAACGATTTGACAAGAAGATCTTGCTATATAAGCTTCTCTATTCATATATTTTTATTGAATAATACTTTTAAAGTAAAATACCACAAGTTTAATTGAAGAAATCTCTTTCTAGATGAATATTGTGTGTTAAAAAGTGTCAAAAATGACAGAACGCCGGAGAGAGAGGACTTAAGCTCATTCAAGAGCTTGTAAAATGAGTTGCAACATTCCAATCGAGAAACCTTTAATAGATAAATGTAGCCAAGATTAAGAGCTTTTATTTTCTATATAACACTTGGTACTTTGGTAGAAAGTTCGCAACTTGCCAGCAACTTTTCCAAAAATTTGCCATCACCCTGTAGAGAGAGAGGACTTGAGCTCATTCAAGAGCTTGTAAAATGAGTTGTATAATGCCAATCGAGAAGTTCTTTGTAGATAAATGTAGCCAAGACTCAGGGCTCTTATTTCTATATAACACTTGATAGCTTGGTAAAAAGTTAGCAATTTGCCAGCAACTTTTTAAAGTTATCAGCATAATTCACGATCATCTTGCACTAGAATCTCAATGCCAACCAGTTTTGAGGTCAAACTGTGCGATTTGATTTGATTTTTTAAAATGCAAATGTGAACTAAAGATTTTGTGCTTAAAAAAAGTCATTTCATGAAGATAAAGAAGAAAGAAATTTGGTGAAATTGTGCCAAAGACTAGAGCTAATGTTTTTAGCATTTTTCTTTGCCTTTTTTTCAAATCAAAATCCAAATCATAATTCATTTTTCATTTGTTTATCCAATCTCTGATCATATTTCTTCATTTTTCAATCATTTCCAGAATATATAAAGAAGATTTTCTGAAATTGACCCTTTTTTTCCCCACGCATTTCTCCTTTTTTCCCATGTGTTCCCCTACTGAAATATTCACAGAAAATTGCAAAAATTATTTATACATTTAGATTTTACAATCAATTTACTATATATAAAGCAGAAAAGACGTCTGTTCGTCTGTGCGAAGCTTGCGCAACTTGAAGATTGGGCAGCTTAAAGATTGTGCAGCTTGAAGCTTGTGCAACTTGAAGCTTGCGCGGAAAACGCGTGAATCTCCCAAGTGGAAAACGCGTTAACGTTAACGTTAAGTTAGTTAACGTTTTCCGTTTACGTTTCCGCTGGTTTTTAAATATTAAAAGATTTGATTGAATATCTCTATCAAATTTGATTTACCGTATTTCCTCTAATAGTAGTGCACCCAGAGCGTCGTCTAAATTGATCGAAATCTCGTCAACCGCTTATCAGAACCTATCGATGTGGGGTCGGAAAATGTAGCTGACGATGAGATCTAGTAGGGGATTAGAGTGTTGAGCTTCTGCAAAAGCTTGGAAACCATAAAATAGTCATCAACTCGGCTCGGCCAGATGCACTAGAGAAAATACGGTATCATAAAACCTAAACCAATAGCAAAACTAGGCTGCTTTTTGAAAGGTTTGCGCTGAAAGAAGGCTTCAGAAGTAAGTCTAGTTGTCAGTTAAATAAACTAGTTTAATTCAGAAAACTTCAGTCCAGTTACAGTTAAATGATCCAATCCAGTTCAGAAAACTGAAAGGAAGACTTCAGTCTAGTTGTCAGTTAAATAAGCTATTAAATCAGCTGTAAGCTATGCAAAAAAATAATGGATTAACTGCTTGATTTAGCCGTATTTTCCCTAATAATAGTGAACTTTAAGCTTGCCTTAATTGCTCGAAATCTCGAAAAGCGCTTATGAGAACCTAGGCTCGGCCGGCCGCTCAAAATAGTCATTCAAAGAAGTCAGAAATTAGCTTTACTGTTTGTAGGGGACTTACTGACTTAACTCAATATCGCCGTATTCTCCTTAAGCACCTAAATTACTCGAAATCTAGTACAAGTACCTAATATACATGTCGTAACCGATTATGAATTTCAGCCGATTACCCTGAGCGTCGCCTAAATTCCTCGAAATCTCGAGAAGCGCTTATGAGAACCTATCGATGTCGGAAAATGTAGCTGACGATGAGATCTAGTGGGGGATTTGAGTGTTGAGCTTCTGTGAAAACTTAGAAACTGTAAAATAGTCATCAACTCGGCTCGGCGCGGTGCACTACTATTAGGGAGTATATGGCTTACAAAGGCCAGACAAAAGTCAGACCAGGTCAAAAACCAAGCCAAGCTGAAAGCTAGTCTGCATTGACCTCTGATAGCTGATAGCTTTAATTACAGTCTTTGTATGATGATTTTTATGACCCGCAGTTCCTTTTACAAGTACCTAATATACATGTCGTAACCGATTATGAATTTCAGCCGATTACCCTGAGCGTCGTCTAAATTCCTCGAAATCTCGAGAAGCGCTTATCAGAACCTATCGATGTCGGAAAATGTAGCTGACGATGAGATCTAGTGGGGGATTTGAGTGTTGAGCTTCTGTAAAAGCTTGGAAACCGTAAAATAGTCATCAACTCGGCTCGGCGCGGTGCACTACTATTAAAGAAAATACGATAATTCTATTTTTCTCAAAGTCTTTCAAATCATTAAAGTTTTTATGTTAAAAAGAGCAAAAAATTCAGAATTTTTCCCATTTTTCCCAATTTTCTTTATTTCTAAAGGAAAATTTCCTATTTTCGCTGTTTCTAAATTATTTTGAATGTTCAATTAATTCAATTTTTGCTAATTTTCCCCGTCTTTTCTTGAGATTTCTTTATCTATTCGGGGATCTCCGGAGTTTTCGGAGAAAGGGAAAATCGTTGACATTAAAAAGGAGATTTAAAATTTTTACATTTAAACAATCTCCATTAATCTATTTTTTTTTAATAAAATTACCAAATTTTAACCTATTCTCTTTTTTAAAAAGCTAATTTCCATTGAAAAAAAAGAATTTACGACCGCATTCTTATTGAAAAAAAAGAATAATTTATGGATTTTCGCTTTCTCTTTTGTTAATTGAATTTAAAACCTTTTTTTTTGAGGTTTATAAGATCTTTTTCTTGTTCTCTTTGATCTTTCTCTTGATCTTTTTCTAAGATGTCTTTTCAAAATTACTCAAAAAAAAAACTTTTCCTTATAAAGCTAAAGCTTTTATGACATTGAACAATCTGTAAAGAAATATTATTCACGTGCTTGGTACTCTTCACTCAAGACACGTTATTTCTTGTTTCGAGATATCTGATCTCACTTGAACTAAAAACACTCGGTCTTGGACTTGGAATAAGCTCCTGTCTTGGACTTGGAATAAGCCTTGTCTTGGACTTGGAATAAGCTTTGTCTTGGACTTGGAATAAGCCTTGTCTTGGACTTGGAATAAGCCTTGTCTTGGACTTGGAATAAGCCTTGTCTTGGACTTGGAATAAGCTTTGTCTTGGACTTGGAATAAGCCTTGTCTTGGACTTGGAATAAGCCTTGTCTTGGACTTGGAATAAGCCTTGTCTTGGACTTGGAATAAGCTTTGTCTTGGACTTGGAATA